AGAGACATCTGTGACTCCAACTAAAGAAATAAATAAAAGGACAGGAAAAAGACAGCGAGAACGAGAACAAGGAAAGGACGGAGCTGGAAGAGGAGCTGAGCAGGCACTCTGCTCCGTTTCATGGGTTTCATCTGCATTCATTTCATGGAAGAGCTCCCACAAGATGAGTTGTTACCACCTTTCTCACTTCGGCTTTCTGAGTCGTGCAGATGGGGCGGGGGGCGGCTTTGTTTCACTGCAAGAGAGAAAGCCATGCATATGACAACGCATGTCTGGGAACGCACCCAGAAACGAGGCCAGGGGAACAAGAAAGGAGGATGGGAGAAGAGAGAAAGGTACCTCCCCCCGCCCCCGTATTTTAAATATTAGCCCTGGATCAAAGAGGCAAGGGGTTTGGGAGCAGGAATAGAGTTTATTTTGAAGTTCTTCTCAGAATCATGTTATTACTTTAGGGACACTGTATAAATACCTTTGCCTAGCTGCTTCACAGTGGCTCATGTCGGCTTGACTAGGTCTTTCCATTTACTAATTAGCCCAGAAGAGTGAGGAGGTCCTGAGGTGTTTTTGAGGAGGAGGAGGGCTGATAGCAGGAGACGGTGTATCAGGTTATAGAGACATGCACGCAAGCACCGTCATGACAAGTTATTTTCAAATCTCACTCCCTCTGAAGAGGTGATGCTATTATAAAATAACACGTGCAAACACTTTTATTCAGAGTGAGATAGCCAAGTGTGATATGTCATATCATGTAGAACTTTATGCTTTTTTTTCCTTTCTCTTCCGGCGGAGTTGATGATATGAAAAATAGTCCGATGTAATTGGAAGGCTTTCTTGAGCTCATCAAAGCAAAAGCCTGTTCTTTGCTTAAGTCAACACTGTCAAGTTCAAACAATTGCCACAGTGGATAGGATCGTGGGCCATCGCTGTATCTAAAGATGCCACGGAGATCACACCCTTCAACAATATTCAAACCCCCCCTTCTGATTCAGGAGAGAACAAGGATGGGGGCATCCAAGTTGTCCAGGATTGCTGCAGCACACATTCCCTAAGTGGGTAGCTTGAAATCACAGAAATCTACTTTCTCACAGTTTAGGAGGCTAGAAGTCTCAGTTCAGGTGTTAGCGAGATGTCCTCCCTTGACTATTTTAACCTCTATAGCTGCTAGTAACCCTTGTTGTTCCTGGGCTTGTAGGTCCATCTGTCTCTGTGGTCCATCTTCCTTCTCCCTCTGTGTATAGTCTCAGTGTCTACTCCCCATGTAATTCAGAAGTGATTAGATTTAGGGCCCAACCTCTCTGGTATGACCTCATTAATGTCACAGAATCCCAAACCCAACCCACTGCTTTCAAGTCCTTTCTGACTCGTAGCAATCCTACGTAGGATTTATAGGGCTGTAAATCTACATGGTTAGCAGAGAGTCTCATCTTTTTTCTGTGGAGCAGTTGGTGGTTTTGAACCTCCAACTTTGCAGTTAGCAGTCCAGGCTTATATAACACCACCAGGGCTCATTAATAAAACATAAACCAATAAACAACCCCCCCCAATTCAGTCCTATCCTATTGATTCTGATTCATAGGTTGCTATGAGTTGAAGTGGAACAAAAGGGCATCATATTTTGGTGCTCTATAGATGGATTTGAATTACGATGCATATTTTTGGGGAATACAAATCAAATCAATATATAGCAGGAGGAAGTGGCATACAATTGGATCAAAGTTAGAGAGTCTGGTTAGTAAAAGGAAGTACATAACTAGCGTAAGAAAATAGCGTAGTGTGCTAATGTAGAATTACACAAGAGGGATTTCATTTGTGGAATTTATATTCATGATGCAATTTTAAGATTTTTTTTCTGAAAATTTATAACATCACTTTTGGATGCACCTACAACAATGGGGTCACTTCTAAAATGAATCAGTATTCTCAAATGTTCCATTCCAATCACCTCTTACTTTCAGTTGTAATTCTAAATTAGATGACTAGTAGGTATTTTAACATGGCCTGACTCCCAAAGGTCCTTATGTTAGTCTGGGTACTTTAGAGAAACAAATTCACAGAAACTCAGGTATAAGAGAGAGTTTTATATAAAGGCTAAGTGCACATCAAGAAAACATCCTAACCCAGTGCTACCCAAGCCCACAAGTCCAACATTAACCCATTAACCTATATGTCTGACACCAATTCACGAAGTCCTCTTCCATTTCACAAAACATACACTATGATGCCAACTGCAGGAGGAAAGCTGAATCAGTGAGCGTGTAAGTATCTCCGCACTGGCAGGGGTCTCCACACAGCTGCTCCAGCACCCAGGGATGCACCGGGGCAGGTCCATGTGGCTTCTCCTTGGGGGTGTCTCACAGGAAGTGAGCCTTGCCAGCTGGAGCAGGGAACTGGCTAAGGCAGCTGCACCCTGGTCCGACCATCACAAAGCAAGAGACCTGAGAACTCGAAAGGCGAGGCTCACTGGGCCATTTATCCCTCTGTCCTTCGATTAACCCTACATGTGTTTATCGGTCAATAAACTAATTACCTCAGTCCTCTTCCCCTACACTAAAGTATGTAAAAATGAAGGAGACAAAAAGAATACCAAGAAAAAGATGCTTGTTTTAAAGTCTTCCCATATAGCAACTATGCATGGAGATGTTTTCTTAGTTTGAGATGAAAAATATAGTATTATCAATGTTGGAAAATGAAAGAAACATAAATTTTCATTTACAAAAAAATATTCAGCTCTTAACTTGGCTTAGGTTACATTAAAATGGAATCTACCTTTTTCTAGTTCAACGTAGAAAACACAATATATTCAACATATGCTTACTTAATGGGTAAATGAATCAATTTAAACAATCATTGGGGGTCTGGCTATGGCGCGCTTCTAAACGTGACTCATTCTGAGACTCAGCTCTTTCTTCACCTCTCTCAAGAAGTTTCTCGAACCTGAAAGTCCTCTCCCTTGTGTACGTTCATAGCTCATAGTATTCGCTTATTTTTCACATGCTGTGCTTCTTTTCAAACATTTTGTTAGATGCCCACAGCAAGTGTTACTATTAACAGGCTCTAGATTCTTGTAGGAAAGCCTTAAACTTCTCATAAAATTAGGACAATAAAAGTGCATTTTTATCCTCTAGCGATAAGAGGTCTCAAATACAGTAGGATTAATCCATAGGTTTCATTACAACAGTTTTATTGCATAAATTCATATACCATGAAATTATATAGTTCAATAACAACAAGAAGACTTGTGCAATCATCACCACACTCAGTTTTAGAACATACTCTTCATTCTTGTACTAATGGTTACTAGCTCCCCATTTCTCTCCAGCCTCCCCGCCATATCCCCAAGGAACCATTAATCCAGTTACTGGCTCTATTTATTTAGCTATTCTGGATCATATCCAGAAAAACACTAAAAACTGCAAACAACAATAACAAAGTAAAACAGAGAAAAATATCAATGGAAAAGAAAGTAGAAAGTTTTAACAACTAGAACAAATTTAAATGGTTCATAAGGGAGGATCAACTGATAGGGTGCTAAACTTTAACCTAACCGCATCTGCAACAATCCACTTTCCAATGCGTTCTGCATGATAGCAAGAATATGAGCTCCAAAAATGTATATTAAATACTGCCTGCAATTTTATGTGGTAACCTTTTACTTTATTATGTATTTTTATAAGGCCTTCAGCGTTCAAGTGTCTTTTGATTCAGAAGGCACAATGTTTTAGTGAACATTTTATGTTGGTCATGAAAAGTATTTTGCTGAATTTGTACTGGTTTACAAGTTCTCAGTGGAAGGCCACATAGCTATGTGGGTTGGTAGAATGCCCATTTTAGCCAGGTTATCTGCTATGACCCTGGATTGAGCTGGGAGGTGGTATCTATGTAGGGGTGAACTGGAGTAAACCTTGAGACAATGAAGATTTCACATGAGGTAAAGAGAGAAAACTAGGGATGAAGAGGGGATAGTGAAAAGGTGGGGAAATTAAGGAGAAATAGGGGGCACTGATGATTACTTTTTACTTTCCTGCTATTAGTACGTTTTTATCATCATTTATCCAAACGTTCAAATTCAATGAAGTCAAAGCCATCTTTGAGTGCCAGAGAACAGCACGCCCCTCCCTCCCCTCAGACTGGAGAAGATCGGATGGGGCCATGTGGCGAACATACGCAATTTTCAAAGATTTGAAAGATTTCCATTTGGAAACACGTTTCTATCTGGTCTATGTGGCCACAATGGGAGCCACTTCTATTCACAATGGAATAGATGTTTTAAGGAAGGATACAGTCATTTTAAATGACAAACACTTTAATCAGAAAATTGGATGTCATTTGCTGGGAGTGTTTTGATTTGGATCTATTGCAGCAGAAACTTACTGATGACTTGGGAAAGCTTGCTTGTTGAGTTAGATAGAGGAGTAGATTTGTTGAGAAGGAGATTTAACTCATAGATTCGAAGTTCTTTTTAAAACTCTCATAAAATGTGATTCTCTTACTGGAATCTGATTGATTGGCTCTTGGGATGACTTCTAATTCTGCCGGGGTTTTTTTTTTTGTTGTTGTTGTTCTTCAAGTGTTCTAAATAGTAAGTTACACCCAACCAAAAAATCCTGCTCTCTGTATTTTTCTTTATAATATAATCAACACTACTTCTAGAATCTGCTTTCACTGGCTATAGATAAACAAGAATCTATGAAAATACAATGTTCAGAGTTTAAAGAATCATGTTATTAGAGAAGCATGCCTGGAAAAATAATCCTTGGGATGTCTAAAATTTATATTGGGCTGTAAAACTGAAGTATGGGCCAAGGGTTAACAACTTGAGTTTTGCCTTTAAAATTAGTCTCAGAAAAGTGCTTCATTAGAAATACATTACCACTGGGTAGTGTCCTTGTGATTGATATGCCCAGAGCTACCTTTTCCAGCAGTCTTTTAAGTACCAATCCTTCATTTTGGTTCTAAAAATGAGATGAAACCTCCTTCCTAGTTGGGACATCAATTTTTACCTGCCAATACAGTTTGATGAGCTTGCTTATACACTGCTCACTTCCTCCACAGAGCCAGAACATGTAGTCAGCGATCATGGCACTCCTAAGGACAAGGACAGAGGTTTATAAAAATAAATTTATAGGTCTGAGGGAACACAGCAACAGGAAGTATATGCAAATACCAAGTAGGAAGCTTTTGTAATGTATAATTTTGACACGACTGATCATAAGCACAGCACAGAGAACCTGTTAGGAGGTAAAAGTTGTTTTGTTTTCTTTTGTTTGTAGCTAAACAAAAAACAGAGGAGAGAAGCAACAGGTCATTCTTCCTGATGGCTTCCTTTTTGTACAGGACATGAATATTTAAAGACCTTAAGAGAATGCTTTAGTTTGGATGCCTCTTGTTGAGTTTCAGAGAACTTATAGACTAATGTACATTTTATGAACTCTGAACGGCCTTCAAACCTAACAGAGCACCTGTTATTGTTGTTAGTTACTGTCTGACTCGGGTGACCCTATGTCCAAGATAAGGAAGCATTGGCCCTGTCCTGGGCCATTTTCATGATTGTGACTGTTGTCCATTGTTGTGGCTACTATGTATTTTGAGTGCCTTCCAGCCTAGAGTTTATCTCAGTTCACTATCAGAAAATATTCCCCAAGAGGCTTTTCTACTTCTGGGAAGATTAACCGGTTTGGCGCAGTTCTACCCTGCCCTATGAGGTCACTATGGGGCAGCACTGACTTGAGGGCAGTGGAAGTGATGCCCTAGAGATATAATTGATAATGTTCTCTAACATACAATGACAATGATATTTCAACGGTGAGCCAGAGAGCTGTATCAATCATAGATGGATGAATGGATTGGGGCTTGCATTTAACTCTAGCCCCAATCTAAGAACCATTAGTTTTTAGGATATGGTCTCATTTGATGTTTGCTTTCGTGAAGAGGTCACCAAATATATGGGCATTATAGAAAAGTGTGATGAAGAAACTAGATGGTGCCCAGCTATCAGAAAGAATTGCATCTGGGATCTTAGAAGCTTGTTTTCAAATCAGCACTAAGTGAGGTGTCAACTAAGTCCACACAGAAGAAGCACACCAGCCTGTGTGATCCAAGGATTGTAAATAATATAATCCAAATATGAAGGAGGGAATGGTATCAGAGCTTACATTGGGAATGCCTGGTTTGCAGGAGGCTAAAAATGACAGTGGAAGCCCAGGTCTATATTCAGGGTCCACACATGGATTAAGTCTCCCATGAATCCCCTCTGATTATAGTTGAAAGATGTGAATCGTCCTGTTACCTGATAGAGGGCATTGTAAAAGTTGATTATAGCAGATGTAGTTAGGTTCAAATGTAACATCTTGTCATTTGATTTCCCTTTTGACTCATTTTAAAGCCATTTTTAGGTTTTGTTTTTGTTTTAAGTGAAGGGGAAATACATGGACATTAAACCCCTGGTGAAGCCCCTCTGCGCATGGCTCAGGGATGTGAATGGCCTTGCTATCTTGAAGAATGCATTGGAAAGTAGACTGTTGCAGATGCAGTTAAGATAAGATTTAACACATCATTCGATCTCCCCTATGAGCTACTTAAATTTGTTCTATTTTTAATACTATCTGCTTTCTTTTCAATTAGTGTGTTTATCTGGTTTACTTTGTTATTGTTAGTTTAAAAAAATGTTTTTCTGTACATGAAACCCAGGTTAGGTAATCTATAGAGCCCGAAACCAGATTAATGGTTCCTTGAGGGTATGGCTGAGGAGGTTGTGAGGGAAAGGGGGAGCTAATAATGATCAGAGTAAGAATGAAGAAAATGTTCTAAAACTAATGTGGTGGATTACTAGAAAATGTTCTAAAACATGTACAAGTCTTATAGATGTGATTGGACTATTGAATTGTATGATATGTGAATTATATGCCAATAAAATTTTTGGGGGTGGGGAAGGGAAAATATTTTCACATGAATTTCATAGGCTAATTTTTTGAAAGTAGATCACCAGACCTTTCTTCCTTGTTTTATTAGATCCGGAAGCTCCACTGAAACCATGATGACTCTACTGGTATTTGCGTGGCTGGTGGCAGGACTTCCAAAGGTTGATGTGTAGCACATCTTTTTGTACTGGCATTTAAGCTCATCTTCTGTTTTACCTGAATTAAAGATTACTCATCTTTGATTAAATTAGCCTCCTTTAAATTGAAAAAAAAAATCTTCAATTCAACAAACATTCCCACTCTCCCAATCTCTGTGTCTAATTGAATTGGTTTTAGTATCTAGACTGTATAACCACCGAAATTAGCCTTATTAAGCTGAGGGATATTAAAAACTATTGTGCAATGGATATTAATTCATTGCTTAGCACCCTTTGGAAAAACAGTTTACTTTTATGACTGTTTCTCTGCTAGGCCTCTGCATTTCTTCTCTCTAGAGATTCCAAATCCAATTAAATGTGACTAGAAGTAATTCCAAATTGTCACGTTAGCCAATTAAACATATAATAATCCTGTGTACCTAATCACTAGTACCAAATTTTTATTTATTGAAGTGGAGCTATCACTGTGTACCCCTGAATGTTTTCTTATCTTTGCCTGCAGATACGTGTTGTTTCTTGACATCCTTGTAAATTGAATTAGAAAATTTCCTTCCCTAAATCTGGGTTGTCTAAGGCACAGCAGCTATAAGTTTACTATAGCACCCTGTTGAAAGAATTAACATGTTTAGATTCTTGCTGAGGGCAGACAAAAATAAAGACTTAAAAATTTAAGAATGGAAACAAATACCACTGCTAGGAAGATTATTCAGCTCAATGTCAATATTACATATGTATGTACATATCATGTGGTGCCGAAAAGAAGATCTGCATTGATATTTTAAAACAAATGATAATAAATATATAATATTAAATAATATTCCAGGAATTCTTTCTATTTTTCAGAGCTCTAATTTGATAAGATAATTTGGGGGGTGGGGGTGGAAATTGGGGGTGGTGTGGTGGTGGTATGTGAATATATATGGGGTATAAAACAAGTTATAAAAATCATATAGTCTAGAGAGCAATGAAAATACATTTCAAATGCTTATGTTTTGGTAGAAACAGTTGGAAAGGCTTTCCTTCCATGAAACCTAAGAAGGAAGTCTATTAGACATGTGGATGTTTGTTACCTCATATCAATTCATTTAAACAAATTCTGAATTTAAGAAGTTCTGGAGAAGTGTAAAAACTTCACTCTGAAGCACAGCTCCCCCAAATCTACAGCTATTGTGGACTGAGTGACAACATGCTTCCATTCTCTGGTTTCTCCTACCATGCATGTGGCTCACCAAACTGCTTAACAATCAGCCATTAGTCAACCAAGGGATTGGAGGATTTTTCATATAAAGACTCAGGTAGTAAATATTTTAGACCTTGTGGGCTATGCTATCTCAGTTGCGGGTACTCAATTCTGCCTGGTGAAAGCAGTTATAGATGATATACAACCAGCAAGTATGTCTAGGAGTCCCCAGGGCTAGGCATTGTGATGCTAACCGCACAGCATCACAGTGCCCAACACAGGTCAGAGCTTCACGCCGCCACTCTACTGCTCTACTGGGAAACAAGATGAGGCGGTCTGCTCCTACAAGCACTTAGTCTCGGAAACCCTACACAGGGTAGCTGTGAGTTGGAATTGACTGAACAGCAATGGGGTTGGTTTGGGGGTGTCCTGATTGGACTTTATTTAAACGGCAACATCATTAACACAAACATACATTGTGGGCTAGATTTGGAAGAGTTTGAATGCTAAATTCAAGAAATCACCAGATTGAGTGTCCGGTGGTGAGCCCTGGTATGTTTCGCAGCCCCTAGTCAGCTGCCAGCTTCCATACATTTCAACCTTAGGTCCTCTTCAATAATTTAGTCCGTGGTGCTCTCTTCAGGGACAATGTGATATACTACGCTAAATTAGGGTTCTGGAAAGATACTGGAGATTTTTAAAACATGCCAAACCTGGGAAAGAATGATCCTGGATTAAAGACACGGTGGCTTGAGTGCAGTAAACGAGATTTATAGAGTTGGCATAATGTTGGGGATTGTCATCCTTGCAATGGACTAATTCTGAAAGAATAGGAGATAAGTTATCAAAGTTGGCCTCTATTTGCACTTTTGCTGGTGGTGATTTGGTTCTGAGCCCATTGTGAAGCTAGCATTTTCAAAAGTTGCTTTCTCTGTGAGGATATGGTGTCACCATGGGTTGATGCACCCTTAACATCCTAAAGTGTGTTTTTATTACCCCGGGGGGCTGAAGCCATTTGACCAAGAACACATTTCCAAATTGATATTGAACCAAGTAAAGAATTGGGATTCATTGGACTTTATAGCATGCTGAAGCTCATGATTATAAAAACAAAAGGAAAGTATTATTCAATAACAAAATATGGCATCATAAGCTGACCAGTTTGAGGTATCTTTTCTGGGTCTGAGTCATCCTCTTCAATGCTGGGCATGCAGGTGTGTTCATGGGAGACACAATCACTCGATCGCAGCACTTCAACTCCATGTTCTTCCCAGTGGAAATGGTACCGAGGCTTCTGCCATCTCAGTCACTTTCTCCAGTTCACTTTCTAGGTCCCCATTACAGCTCTGCCCTGCAGCTCAGCCCTTACAAACCAGTCAAAACTAGTGGAAGAACGTGAGCCGAACATGGAAATCGCATTATGCCAGAAAGTTTTGAGGCAAGGGATCACACTGAATTGAAAAACAACAAAATTAATTAACTAACCTGTTGAACATCTACAATGAATTAAGTACCATGTTGTTACTGAACCTGACAGACTTACTCATGAATCAACTGTACCGGGTAGCCCATCATTCTTCCTACCCTACTTCAGATACCTCTATTTAGCTGTAGACGCAATATTCGACATGTCAACAAGCCTCATGTTGCTTCTGCCTACAGCTCATCATCAATATTAAATCGACTTAGTTTTAATTACTGAATGCTGGAGCTACACAAGGACTGCAACATTTCCTTAACTTGCTGTTGTGACTTGCCATCAAGTCGCTTCTAACTCAAGGTGCCCGCGTGTGTACAGTAGAACCTCTCTATACAGTGGTCAAGGCTGAG